TTTTAATAAGCTAAGTGTTTAAGTAGTCTTAAATAAAGTTGTTTATTATGCTCTTAAGTATATATATTTAAATTTTTATATTATTTAAATAAATATTTATGGAAAAAATTAAAAATTATGGTTTTTTTGTAATGCACTGTACATTCAACAATCAGTAAGATAATCAGTATGTGATGAAATCTTCAAAAGTAATTTTTTAAGATAGAAAATATTAAAAAATATTATAAACTTATGTCATAAAATAAATCTTATATAGTTAGGCCTTGCTATAATCACACCTCTTACATTTTTATAGCCATCCAATTTGAATTTTTTTGAGTAACTATAATTATCCAATTTTGCTTCCACAAGAGTGACTATAGAAAGGTTTGATTGTACAAGAAAAATTAAAAGATCTGTTCTGCCAAGTTAACCAGCAAACAATTTTAAAATAAACTATACAAAAGTTTGTCTTATTCATTAGAATAATATCGTACTCACAAAATTTCCTATAAAAATTTTAAATTTTAAATCCTCCGTCGAGTTAATCCAAATTTTTTATTAAGTAGTCAATAAGAATTTTTTCACAGCAACCAACAATTCAGCAAAACAAATCCTACATATAAAAACAATAAAGCAATTTTACCATAATTTGCTGCATAGAGCATCTATACTCCAGATAATTTTCTTTAACAAGTACATGGAATATCTATAAAATTATTAATATACAAAACATTCTTTTTATATATTAATGTTTAATTTTCGTTTAAACATACATGTAATTAGCTTAAATAAAAATAAACTATCATTATATCTGATTAAAAGTCTCGGGTCTATTACATCTTTTTATTTTCCAACTTGTGAATTACACCCGGGTAGAATTTAAAGGGGGTGTTCTATGCAGCAAAATACGGTATATATAATCATAAACTTAGTTCCAACCTTAACCTAATCTTCCTTAAAATAGATTACAACAGAATTTTCCGAATCCTTGGATGAAAATTAGTAAATTAAGAACGGAGGTAAAAATTATTGTCGACCATAGCTGAAATAAAAAACGGGAATTTCGCAGTTTAGTCACTCTTAAATATACTCGAAAACAATATAACCGTGTTTCTGGGTAAATACAGATAAAATGCAGAGGAATGAGGCGCTGGAATTCAGCAATGCTGTATTTTAATAGACTATGTAAATATTTGAGTAGTAGTAGTGCTGAATCCTATAATTAAACAATTACTCACAATTAATGAAAGCAAATTATATATAGCTTTTTTCGTATTATCTTGGCACGCGAAAAGTGCAAATATTTTTTGTTGGCATAGTTCAATACCATATTTCTGTGAAATAATGCGCAGGGATACAATTTCAAATTTTGGCCTGAATGCGTGCCGTGGTTCGAAATAACGCGCATGGTCGTTATTTCGCGAAAATACGGTGATAACAAATTTGTACGAAAATGATTCTTATTATTTAAACACAAAATCAACATGTGCGGCAAAGACATACAATAAGTTTGCAACATACGAATTGGGATTGCTCACAAAATTAACATATTTTAACGCATCAAGAACAAGTCAAATTTGATTCTTCATTAATAAAGCATAAATATGTCAATATTGAAAAGTAGTTATTTTATTTATGACAGTGAAATGCACGAAAGTTTTGTGTTCCAGTTCCTGATCACATGATAATTATTAACCAATAAGAATGCACAAATCCTTATGTGAGCCGGCAACTTATTAAAAAATGATTTCATTATTAAGTTCATAGTTAAGATTAGAACTGGGAAAAGATTATATCCCACCGAGATATTTTAATGGTCCTCCAAGCTAGTTTTGATATATTTTTTGCATTTTCATTTATTTTCTTGCGGTGGATTTATTTATCAAAAATTCGCGCACTCTTATTGGTCTGTGAAGTGCACGTGATCAGGCATTTCCACCAGAAAATTCTGTTGTAGTTGTGATGTTGATGTTCCAAGAAAGACTCTTTTAAAAGCATATTCAATTAATAGACGTCAATTATGCTCAGTTAAAATCTACAAATCCATGCAAGTATGCGTAATATGCAATTTAACAAATGCCTTTATTTATTCGCTGAAAATTATTTGCCATAAATGATTGCAAGAAGGCTGGACAGGACTGATTGTTTACGTATTATACATATAGATTACAATTGAAAAGGAACACATGGAATTAAAAATGTTTAAAAAATATGAACCCATGCTCAACACCTTGAGTGCCGAATGCAAATATTCGTCATTAGAATATTTGTTGCAGTTCTTCATCTGTCATAAGTTGAATTTGATTCTGTGGTATTGTCAATATTTCAGCTATGTCGTCGTATTTTGTACGAGTAGCGATTTCTTCATGGATGATGTAACAATCATCATGATTATAATTGTGATTAACGTTAATGTCAATATTCTCGTTATACTGATAATTTTCATGGCTTTGATTGAGATACTCAAAATATCCATTACAACTTTCATTTATGTTTGTAGGACTTGCAAAAGTATTTGATTGATGATGATATGATTGTTGTTGTTGTTGATAGTAATTCCAGTTATTTTCATTTGGAGTGACAGTGATTAAATGTTGATGTACGGAAATTTGGTAATCATTATCGTTATTGGTGAAAGAACCAAATGTATTATTATTATTATTATCATCATTATTATTATCATTATTATTGAAATTGATATTAGATTGATGAAAGTATATTTGATTATTATTTTCTGACGAAGAAAATAGCGAAGCATTAGTAACATTGAATGATGCTGATATGATATGGTTTTCATGGCTATAGTGTTCCAAATGATGATAATAAAGTTGTTGCGCTTTATAATTGTTTTTAAAAGTCAAAAGAGAAATAATATTAATGTTGTTGGTCATTTTTAAGAAATTTGCGATATTATACAAGAATTGTGTAGCGATAGTTATTAGAGAAAAGTCATCAAAAGCTTGCTATCGCTATATATAAAGAAAAATCTTAATTCATAGACCAAAAGTGTGATTTATTTCATGTATTAAATTTTATTATTAATTTAGCCAAACAAAAAACAAAAAAAACGAATAATTGTAGTTAAATTTGGATGCAACGAAGTTAAGAATTGTTATGCATAGACTGAAACATTAAGGATCCCATGCTGTGTCATCCTCATTTTAAACGAGTCAAATTATTGATTTAATTTTATGCTTTAAAATTTGAATTACCGATCGTTCATGCAGAGAAGAAAATTGTATTGTCTTTTTAATAGATGTTCATGAAAATGATTGTTTTACTTTTAAGTTTAGGTTTTTCCAGGAGTCGTGAATTTCGTTTGTGCCTTTGTTTTTGTTTGTGTCTATAATGCGTGAGATATCCGTGACAAACAAAAAAAAATAATGACTGTGTGCTCTTAGAATGCATGATGAAACGAGTTCATAGTGACAGGATATCAATGCGTGAGAAAAAAACTTGTATTTTCCATAGAAATGTCACAAGAGACAAGGAAAGATTAAATCGTACAAGTTGTGTAAATCAACGGCGGCGGCGTGACACAACCTACTTGAACAAAGGATCAAGATAAAAACACAAAGCGCTTGTTAATTATCTTATCGTTATGTTCTCATTAGCGTTAGATTGTTTGTTGATTTGCAACTAAAAATTACGCTTCACCTCAAGCAGCAAGAAAATCAATCAATTTTTGTTTAAAGTTTGCAAAAACATTTATTGTTATTATCGTTATGCAAGTTTGTGCGTGTATATCAATTCAACAAAAACGAATTTAGATAAAATTAATTACGATTATACATGTATTTGGTGTACAAGTAACCTCTACATGATTATCATCATCATATTAATACAAAAAAAACATATTCAAAACAATATTATTATAACCTATCGGGGGTCAGTAACTTGGACGTATTTGAATTTGATAGCAAATAAAATTAAGCGCGGGGAAGCATAATTGACTCCGTAGGAAAACCCGACGTACAAAACAAAGTACGTAATAAGTTTTTTAACATGCCAAATACTCACATCCAAAATATCGAGTTTCTTTTGGGATTTCAATTTACAGTTCTCTTAGGGAATGAATCGATACTTTTTACAAAAAGTCTCATTGTTGCATTCAAACACGAATATCCGAGCGATATATTTGAATTGTTGAAGAAAGAATTTTTTTTGTTTGCAGTGAAAAAAAAAAAAATACGTATTTGTAAATGAAATGCTTAATCTGCAAAAAAAACCATTATTCATTGACAATTGTCATTCAAGGCTATTACAGTCGTTCCTCTGTGGTCACCTCCCGTATAAACATTCCATTTTAAGCCATATGATCCTGTTCACTAAATATAGGTCCATACAACAAACACCGATGCATATAAACACATCTTCCTGTAATCTTACTAACCGGGTTCCCAAATAAAAGACTTTTCTTATCTCCTCTAATATGATTCATGAATTGAAATCATTCATGTAAATATTTGAAATTTAAACTTTGAATATACAAAAATTTTTTCATTGACTGACAAATCTTAGCAAAATATTAACTGAATTAGTTGATTGGAATCGTGACTACTAAAGAAACAGAACGAATAAAAACGGCGAGATTTGAATATCTCGCCATCGAAGAATTGTGCGCAGTTAAAGGTAAGCAGAGTTTATGTTAATGTAAATTTATTTATCTATCATTTTCTTCATAAATCTAGTAATTTTTTATTGTTTTTAGCATTTCGCGTAATATATGAAGATATTTTACTTTTCAAAGAAAAATCAGAGGCCATTAAAATTCTCACATTACTATCATGTATCCGTCAGCCTTTCGTAAAGGTCAATTTCGATGTTTCTTATGCTATTTGTAGTTTTCCCACAAATCTTTTATATTTTAGAAGTGTGATCGGGAAGATTTCTCGACTTTGTTTTACGAATTTTCAATTGTGTATAAGTCGGAACGACTGGACAGGCCAATCAAGCAAAATTAATGTCATTATCAACAAACCATTACCTTGAGTCTCCAATTTTCCAGATCATAGGATACTTTTTACGTGATTTTCTAAAGGAGTAAATCAATCAAATCGTAAAATATGAAATATTAGGGTCAGAATTTACATCACCCACAAAGAAATTCGACTTATAGTAAAATTCCGCAAGAAAATTATTTGTGAAAATAGTATCATTTTTCGTTACGATCGATCTTGCGATTTAATTAAACTGCGCCTGAAAATTACTATTCAATACATCGATGTTATCTTTTGGAATTCTCAAGCTCTATTGACAGTTAGGTAATCCAGAGCCGCCTCCAAATTTTACGTTTAGAATAATATGAAGTCCTTTTTTAACACCATTTCGACACAAATATTTGGAACTTACTTTCGTGCGATCAAATCATCTTTTTGCCAACCATCAACTATTTCAAACTTCGGTGTTTTTTCGCCCTCGCCAATCGTTGGTTTTATGTGTTGTTTTGAATAGAGGCTTTTTCCGCTTAATTTATGCGAATAAACCATTTTTTTCCTAATAGGCGACGCCGTACGCTCTCACGGAAATTCCGACTCCTAATTGAGTTTGGTGGTAGGGCATTTTCCACATGCTATTATCGGACAGCATTTCTTCATCAGTGATCCGAAGAGTGCGAGGACGACCAGTTTTGGCTTATCTTCGAAAATTCCAGTTTCTTCCTTGTTCTTGGACCGAAGCGAAACCACCCATTCCGATAATGGTATTTTGCGGAGCGGGAATATTTTTTCTAATGAGATACTGCACATTTTTAAGATATGATTGTTTATATTTATAGTAATGAAAACTATTTTATAGAAAATGGAATGTGCTTTTATACTTTATCTTTATTGTTGAATTTCTCGCCCAATTTGGTCATAGTACGCAAAACGCTAAAAAAATTCATTAGCATGATTATATTAAAATTTGTTTTGACTGATATTGTCACTTTAACGAATAAATCCGTACAATTCTTCAATGCCGAGATATTCAAATCTCGCCATTTTTATAATATCCTAGTCACAGCCATTGAAATTTCCGATTAATATTAAATATTAAATATTAGGGTTAAAGTTAGGAGTTAGGATTCGAGTGAATTTTATATAAAATGCTTTTCGAAATATCAGGAGATGCCCTAAAGCATTGCAAGTCGTATGATATCCATCCAATAGGGTGCACATTACAAGAAAATCAATGCCTAAATCTGCCTTGGAATACATGCACTAATTAAAATGTCGGGACGGCAATTTTACATACAATCTTGTTCTGAATGATTTTATTTTTAGGTTGAATACTCTTCCAGCATATCTTATTTATTAGTATAAGATCATCAAAGTCACATGATCGACCACTACTTTCGGTAAGGTAGAATTTGTGCTTGGTTCCTGGTCACATGATAATTAGTAAGAATCCGCAAATAAAATGTGTGCTGACTACTATTAGAAGGTGATTTTGTCATCAGCATTATGTGGGTGAGGTTAGAACTGAGGTAAGGCTATATGTAGAATTGTCTTTCCGACATTTTTAATAGCACCTCAGGCTAGATTTTGATGTCTTCATTTTCATGAGAAAATGAAGTATAACTAAATATATGAAAAATAATAAAAACAATTACGTATACTATGTGAAAGGAGTTAGGAAGTTTGGGTCCCCACCTTCTTCTGGGCCGGAGGGATAGCTCATCTGCACTATAAACTAAACTTGTAGTTTAGTTTTTAATGATTGGCCGACCAACTGACCAGAAGAAGCCGCCAAAGAAATCACAAACTAGCACCGTTATTGATCATAAAGAATCACAACGAGAAAACAGAAAAAAGTCACGAATAGAAAATTGACTTGCCTCAGCTAATAAAAAGTTGTTTATCAGACAAAATCAAGTCATACGAATCTCGTGCACCAATAAAGATGAATTTTTGATCAACCCAGCGAAACAAATCCGGCGTGTCAATTAATATCATCGTTTCATTTGCTGGCTAGACCAAATTTAACAAATACAAAGTCTATTGACGTAGTTCAAGTCACCATATTTGAATCTTGTCAATAGAAACTCGGAAAGATGTAGGGTTACGGAGTCTGTCATGATAAATACATCATGGCCGAGAATTTTCTTCACCACTGAATACTGTATTTTTTTTTGCTATATAATATCAATAGTAAAATTTCGGAAATCAGATTCTTAAATCTAAAACAGCTAAATATGTAAAATAAAGTTTCTTTAAATCTTATGACCGTAAATTCGATATTGAGTTGCATATGAATTATATTTTTCTATTTCGATAGAGAATGTTTCTAAAAGAGCATCAAATGAGATATCCATCAAGGGAGATAAAAAGATCCTGAGAGAGCGGGGCGATCTTGTATATATGTTATTAACGTATGAAAGAGATATCAATTAAAAAATTTTTGCAAAAAATAATATAATTTTGAATTTACCTCTCGACCAGTTTTGAATACGTGGCTATTACGATTTTGTACGATAAAACAGTCTTTCAAAACTGTACGTACAAGTTA